AGGGTCACCCACTAGGGCTAGGTGGCTGGGAACCATGTTCCTTCTCTCTCCCTCCCTCTCTCCCCTCCTCCTCCTTTCTTCCCCCACTTATTCATATTAAAGTTACAAGAATGTTACTAAGCAATGTCTTATTAAATGATGTTGATTCTGTTGGTTTGAAAGACTAAGAGAGGTTTGTTACGTTAATGCTTCACCCAGCAAGCTAAACAACAGATGATGTATCTTTGGAAACTGTGCCTGTCTGACCTTGAATGCCCCTGAAAGTCCAGTGTTTATTCGCCTAAGACATCTAAAGGGCTGAAATTTACCTGGACTTCCCGTCTGTGCCTGTGGCACATGAAAACAGCCGCAGCTCTGGGACCCGCCTCTGCCGCTGCTCTGGCCAGACCGGTCACCGCACCCACATGGGTTCCTGTTCTGTGCGAAGGAGCCTTCCAGAGCAGGGCTTCGGTTTAAAGGCAAGGTTAGGGAATGAGTAAAGGGGCCTACTGCTTCCTGAGCAGGTGACGCACACAGACCTCACAGACAGGCATCAGTGCTGGGATCATGCCCAGGCATCAGTGATATGTTTATCGTGGGTGGGACTCGCGCTTTTAACATATTTTCTGAAACTCTCTCAAGCGTTTCCTGGCTTCTTCAAGAAACTGCTTGTGCAACTTGTTTTGCTCTAAAATTTGCTCTTGAAGGTCACTGATCATGTGACTGTGCCCGTCGTCGTCGAAGTCGTAGTTCTCATCGTCATCGAGGATGCTGGCGGCCCGGTGGAGAGTGGGACTGAGCTCACATCCCACTTCCTTCTCCTGGTCTCGAGAGGAGGAGGCCGTGAGATGGGCCAGGCGAGCTCTTGTCTGTCCCCAAGCCCCTGTCTGTCCCTGCCTCTCCTCTCCTAGCTCAGTCTGGCAGCGGGCCTCCAAGTTCAAGCTCGTCACTGGGTGTTCGGTTTGTTCAGGCAACTCCAGCTGCGTTAGTCTTCTCTGCTCCATCTCCATTTGCTGCTTTTGCCTTGACGCCCTCGAGCCAGCTCCGTCTGCTTGTTCTTGTGGGTGACGTGGGCGGGAGAGCGTGTCCAGCCGGGGCGCTTCGTGTCTGGACTCTGGGCTGCTCGAGACGAGATGCTCCTCGCTGATAAACGCTCCTGCCTCCGAAGGCGACAGCTGACCCTCGTTCTTGGACCTGGCCTTGACCATCCCCTGATGTTTCTGGTTCTTGGGCTTGCTCAGTAGCGTTTGCAGGTCAGTTGTGGGCGATGTCTGGTGGGCGCCCCCCTCCGCTGAACTCATGGCCTCCCCTGCAGGCACCACTTCCGCATCGGCTGCCGTCGTCTCTCTCCAGGGCTCGGCTCTCTGTCCCTGCATCTCTGAGAAGTCCCGTTCTCCGGGGTTCTGGTACATCCCCGGCCTGGGCTCCAGGTACAAGCTCAGGTGTCTCTTCAGCTTTCTGTTTGTGTTAAACAACAACTCGAAGGCAAGATCCAGCTCTCGCTGCCACCTGCTCTTGTCACCGCACTGGCGCGGGGACAACTGGGGCACGGTTCCCCTTCCTCGGGTGGAGCCGACTGGCCACCGCTGTTCCCGGTCATCCTCTTGGCCCTTGGGACTCTGATCCAGAAAGTTGTCTGTCGGGCTTTGAACGAGATGAGCACTGCTCCTCCCCAGCTGCCCCCTCCCGTCCCGGGTGAGGTCGTCCTCCCTTTCCTCCAGGAGCCTGATCGCCCCTGCAGCAGTCCAGAGCGTCCCCATGTCCGGGCCTCCTCTCACCCGAGGGTCAGCGGGACGGCGGCCACTGCTGGTCTTCCTTGAAGGCCCTTGTTTCCTTGTATTCTTCTCAGGGAGGCCCAGGGGGAGATACGGCAGGCCGGCCGCTCTGCTAGCCCCCTTCTTCTCGGCGCCCACTGCTCTCCTTGGGGACTTGGTGTCCCACAGCTGCAGTCTGACCAGGCCTCCTTTGCAACTCTTCTCTTCCCTGCAGGCTGCTCTCTGCTTCCTGCAGGCCCTTGGCGGCCAGGCTGCTCCTGGCCAAGCCAGCCCCTGTGAGTCAGGTTCCTGTTCTGTGGCCCGTCCTCCCCCCATACTTAACAGATGTGCACAACGCAGCCTCCCCAGGCCTGGGACTTGCCGGTTGGGGGCTTCCTGCCACTCCGCCCTCGACTTCTCAGCCACACGCCGGAGCCGGCGGCCTTCCCATGGCTTGAGGTCTCGTGTTCCCCGCACAGGAGGGTCTCCTTTCTCTCTGACTTGTAGCAATTTGTGTTTCTGCCTCAAAAGCAAAGCTTCGTCGTTGGGACTGGGAATCCAGCGAGCGTCTCTCCCTGCGTTTCTTTTCATGTTGGAGACCTTGGCAGACATGGCTTCAGAAGGAAGCTGGTGGGAGCCAAGGGCAGAAGACGAAGGGTGCTGGAGGCCAAGGAGCCACAGATGCCACGGCGACCCACGTCAAGCCCACAAGGGCAGGAGCAGCCACGCCGCGGCCTGGAGAGTTAGCAAGGCCCTGGAGACAAGGCACACGGGTTGGGCATGGGGAGACAAGTTCAGATGTGTCCCTCCAGCCCCCCCTCCACGCCCACCCGCCAGGGCCCATCTGTCTCCCGACTTCTATCTTGCACAGAAACCTCAGAGGGCAGCTGTTTTCAAAGCGGTGTGCTTTTGCTTCCCAGGGACTATGTGGCAATGTCTGGAGACATTTTTTATTGTTACAACTAGAGGGAGGCGCTATCAGCCTCTAGTGGGTGGAGGCCAGGGGCGCCGTTCAACATCCCACAACGGCCCTACAGCCTGTGATCACAAGAGTGATCCAGCTAAAATGTCAACAGGGCCAGGGTTGAGACGAATAGGATGGAAGTGGCGGTGGAAGGATGCAAATGACTGGCCCTCACAGGAGACCTACTTATAAATGAAAGGAGGAAGCGGTGGAGAAAGAGGAGACTGCTAGGCATGGTGTGTGTGTGTGTGTGTGTGTGTGTGTGTGTGTGTGTGTGTGTGTGTGTG